CCTACCGTTATCTGCCTGTCTGTCTTCAGGTTTACATTCCCCCCCCCAGACTCTGCCTAGGGAAAGGGCAGTCTTTCCCTGCAGTGGGAACCAAAGCAGCTGACATCATTCTCCTCTCCCCCATATGATCCACACAACTACCCTATGAGGTATGTTAAGGTTGAAAGTGTGTGAATGGTCCATAATCCCCCAGGCAGCTTTTAAAACATGAACCTGGGACCTGCACACCATCTGTGGCAGTAATGGGGTGACTGCTGGCACCTTTTCCTACCATTTTTTGCCTTGTGGTATTCTGCTTGTGGTGTGATCTGTCTTTTTTGAGGTGTGGCATGATTGTGTTATTGGGTTTGTTTCTTTTGAAGGGGAAGTGATGTGTTGTGAGTGAGGACATATTTTACCTCAAAATACACCAGGTCCCATATTCAACTGAAAATTCCAACTGTCTTGTGGGGGGGGGGGAGTTTGAGGTGTGGAATGGAGTGAAGTCCAATCAGCTTCCATATGCAAATGACCGTGAAACGCTGGCCCAATCAGAAAAGAGTGGACTGAAGTGGCCCAGCCGTAGAAGCCCTGTCCCTGCACTCAGTCTGCAGATGGTCCTCACCTGTCAGAGACCCAGAGCAGACTGAGCCAATGATGTGGGCGGAACTACACAAAGCAGCCAGTCAACCCAGCCAGCGTCTTCTGACTGACAGTTCAAGCTTCCAAACACTGTTGGTGTGCATTTGGAATGTTGGGCCCCACTATGCCTTTATATATAAGGGAGAGATAGAGATGTTTCAAAATTCTATCCTGAGTGACACATTCATTAGAAGAGTTCTGCCCTTTATCCACTATAGTATGAGAAATCTTAGCTGACACATTTTTAATACAATTATTTTGTGTAATGTATACGTATGCATATGAGCTGAAATCAACAACAGTTTATTTTGGATGACACAACTATATAGCATAGAATCCACATAAGACTATTTTTATTAAGACTAACCCAATTTCATGTAACAGTGTGCAGACTTTTGAATTCTAAACTCTTGTTCAGGCTGGATATTAAAATTAAAAGATATAGGAAAAGAAAGATGGTAGTCCTAGTGCAAGCCATATGGTGCTTAGATAGATGCAGATCTGATGCTAGTAGCCAGTGGCACTTACCTTTTTTATGAGCAAGGGGCCATGAAATCATTACATTTCACAGAAAGCACAGTATCATACACATACACTAAAGCCAAAGTATATTAATATATTGATGAAAAGACAATAGGAAATACAAACATTTTAGATACATAGAATCATGGTTGTTATGTGCAAAGCTTATGCAGAAATATATTACTGACACTGAATACATTTATTGAAGCCCATTGATCAACAGACTATAAGGAAGTGTGTGTATTTACTTGCTTCATTTATTGTCCATTTTTTGCATTGAGACTCAAGGTGTGTTACAGAATTAGAAAGTAATGCGGTAAAAGACCAGTATAACACATAACCCATGCAATAAAACTGGATCACAAAATTACAGGACACTGAAATAAAAACAGCAGGCTATATCAATAAACAATTCTGTTTTACTGAACGTTCCCCTTTTTATTACCCTTTTTAATTCCGCTTTATTCTCTTTACAAAACTGGTCTCCTGAAAAGCTCCATTCCACACATTTTGTGGAATGATAAAAGCATGGGAGCCTTCCTAAAATACAACCCACTTGGACAATTCTGAACATTTCATTTTATTATCACCCTGTTCCCTTAATATGTCCCACTGAACAATTTTGTTTTATAGATTTTGTGTAAGATAGAGACATTTTCCTACACAAAAATAACAAAATATCGTTTTAAAAACATCAACAGAATCACCACTATATCAATAAATAAAAGGATTTACTATTTGAATTCTATGTGGGATTTTGAGTAACCCCCTTCTGAATCCACTTCCAAAGAGTTGTTCCTTTCTTGTTAGAACCCATCTATTAATTTAAATCACTGCAACAGAAGGAACTTTTATTTGATCCTCTGTTTGGGCAACCTGGTAATCAAGCAACAGAATTTTATGTTCACTGTTCTAAAACTTGTGCTATCGACATGTCTAGTTTTAAATAGTATTAAATAGATTGTTAAAATGACCTAATGTTAGTAAATTGTACAAGGAAGCCATTTATACACATGTACAGATAACAAGAAGGCTTTTGATAAAAGAAACAGAGATCAATACACACAAATGACACTGAAATACTAATTTATACCACTACCTGTGAAATCAAAAAGCCATCTTTTTTTTCTTGTAAGTGAATTTTATTAAGAATAATTCTTGAGGAACAACTATCCACTAGGACTGAGCTGTATCTTTGTGGTTAAGAAAGGTCATAAAATAAATTGGCTGAAATATTTTCAGGATTGACCAGTTTCGAAAGATGGCACCCTTGGTCAGTTGCAGAGGACCCCTTACCCTGGGACAGTCTAATGCTCAACCCCAGGCAGCAATGAAGATTTGAGGCCACTTTCTATCTGAGTTGGGTTGGCTTGGGCTATCCTGTCTCCTGTTCAAAGAGCAAATGTATCTTTTTGAGGGCCATATACTTTTATATAGCACTTAGAGACCTCCCCTCAGATGTTAAACTGAGTGGTTTACATTCTTTGTGGCACCCCTCTTGTGTGTGGGGTGTCTCAGGGGGCTGTTCTTTCCTCATTATTGTTTAACTAGAAATAATGCCCGTTGCGGAAATAAATACAACGGGATCTAGAAAGAGGCTCTGGGAGAGTGCTCTGGCTTTGGGCAAACAGTGTCAGTTTCCTGTGGCGACCTCAGCAGGGTTTAATGACAGAGTCCACTGTTTTCTCCTGAGGGACTGATCTCTGCTACCTGAAGAGCATTTGTATGTTTGAGTTATCTGTAGCCCTCACCTGGAGAGTGGTGACCATTGTTACCCATTCTCCTCTCCCCTATGAGGTATGTTATGCAACTGAAAATCCCAACTGCCTTGCCGGGGGGGGGGGGAGTTTGAGGTGTGGAATGGACTG